TTATGTTCCTTCATCTTTTCTGTATTTCCAATGGAGTTAATGTTCCAATAGGTCAATATGAATGGAACAGTTATATCAGAGGACATCAATGAAAACCATTTTCTCAAAAACCATTTTTAAAATAAACAGGGCCATAGGCCAAACTAGTTTGCACAGTCCCTATAAGAGACTTTTTCCAGTTCTGGTTTCTGCTATCTGTGAGAGCTGCTATAAAGCTTTCAGGTAAGCCTCTTAAAGTAAGTGGCTTAAAAGTGACCTTCCTTAAGCCTATATGTATGAATCTATGTGAATCCCTATAAGGGGCTAAATCACTTTCAGATAATAATCTGAACGTAGCATGGTCACTATCTACAATGATAGTCTCTTCAGTAGTTTTAACTACTTGTTTTAAATCGATTTTTTCAAAAGTACCTAACTGGTATATTACCTTAGGCTTGACTAATGGTATAGTCCACTTATTAAGCAAGTCTAATTGTTGGGGAAATTCATAATCCTCTTTCCTACTGTTTTTAACAGTAGTCTTCTTCCTGATGATATTCATTAAGAAAATAGTGTTAGACTTAGCTTCTAAGGTTTTCTACTAACATGGCTCTGATACCAATGGGGATAGGGTTCGCTTTCGATGAAGCTCAGGAATAAATTATCAGAACTTCAGCTCTGGCTAGCTACTAACCTCTAGGTAAACCTTAAACCACGGTGCTCCTCCCAACCCTTCAACGTCCACTTTGACTAAACGGGTTTAACCGAGCACCACCGGTTAGGTTGGTCTAACCAAGGTTTACTGTTGAAATTGATAGCTGCCTAGTCTATCCAGTTCTTAACCTATGACCTCCTCGGGGTGATACAGTAGACTCTTAGCCACCAAACATGCTTAGTAAATAGCCTATGAATACTAAGTCTAACACTTACCTGATTAGCCTATAATTTAGGCTAAACAATACGATAAAATAAATAATAAATAAGTAAGAGTAGAATACAATGCCCGAGACTACTGGATTTCTGGCCAAGTGACCTTTCGATTTTTATTTCTTATCCGAAAGACTACAGAGGGGTTCTTTACTAGAGTAGAAAGAGAAGCTAGAGAGAAGGGAGAGCGTTGGCTAATTGCCACCCTCTAAGTAATGAAATGATCCTTATACAATGGATCAGTTACAATCAAACAAAACTAAAACAGTTCTGTGGCCGACAAAAATGATTTACACATGACCGACAAGATATAAAGTAAAAGCACTTATAATTGCTAACGGACAGACTGCTTTATAAAAGTAGATTCCTTTTGAGGATGAGAGTCCGCTTCTTTATTAAAGTTGTTTGTTTCTATTACCCTGATAATTGATCTATGGGGCCTTCAATAATTCAAGCCTTGTTTTTTCCCTTGTTGTCTTTTTCCCCCGAAAATTCTTCGGCACTTTCCTTCAATTTTGCAAGGAAGTCCTCAATTTCATCAAACCAAAAACCCTCAGGCCTGCTATGAAATAAATTCTATAACAGATACATATAACCTCTATACTAGGAAAATAATCATAACCATGTAATTTAATGCTAAGTATTAAAGCATTCAAAGAGTTCTCATCACTAAGAGAAATCTGTAAATTGGGATAAGCATTAAAATAAACACGACCATAGGCCAAACTGGTTTGCATAGTCCCTATAAGAGACTTTTTCCAGTTCTGGTTTCTACCATCTCTGAGAGCTGCTATAAAACTTTCAGGTAAGCCTCTTAAAGTAATAATAGAAGTATTGAATTTGCTTCTAAATTTTCGGATGTTATCACTGATAAGACCCAGCTTCAATGATTCCTAGGAAGCTTAAATTATATTTCTCCTTTTATAAAGGATTTAGCCAAAGATACTGCTCTTCTTTGTGATAGATTGAAGAAGAATCCGAAAGCATAGACTGAGAGTCATACAGAATCAGTTAAAAGAATTAAACAAAAGGTTAATAAACTTCCATGTTTAACTCTTGCTAACCCCATTTGGGCAAAAGTTGTGAAAACCGATGCTTCTGATATTGGTTATGGTGGGATATTAAAACAATTCTCTCCTATGGATAAACAAGAATATCTTGTTCAGTTTTACTCGAAAAAGTGAAATGATTCCCAGAAAAATTATGCAACAGTAGCTAGAGAAATTCTTGCTATAGTTAAATGTGTTATGAAATTTCAGACTCATTTATACAATCAGAAATTTGTAAAAAATTGATTGTCAAGTTGCAAAGTTTTTCTTTAATAATAACATGATGTTTCCAATCAAATGTTTGCAAGGTGGCAAGCTTTATTAGCCCCCTTTGATTTCGAAATAATATACAAAAAAGGGTCTGATAATACCCTTCGTGATTTTCTTACAAGAGAATATATGAACTAATAGTTCTCTCTTTGACTTTTACAGATTATGAGGCCTACGTACAGACCCCTTCGACAACGAGGAAGAGGAAGGGCATCTACCGATGGTAGAGGGAATAATATTCTCGCCCAAATGGGAAATCAAAAATTAATCGCTGCTAATATAGCAGGAGGTAATACCGACCATTCTTTATATAAGAATTTTATGGATTTTATACAATCCAGAAAAGATGAAGGAACATCATCCAATGTACCAACTTATTCCTCAGTTATATCAGAGGACAAAATTTGTTATAAACAATTCTTTGAAGGCAAGGAATTAAAAGCTATTTTATACCTATGCGATTCAGATATCTGAATTTGCCAATAACGTGATTTCAAATCAACTTTCGAGAATATAATGGCCTCATGTGATCTATCTAATAAATCCTTCTTATTAGGAATAAGATATCTAATCCATTTTAAGACCTTATTAAGGGGCTTGTAGTTAATCACTAATCTAGGAACTCAGACGGAATTCCTATCACCTCTGTTCCTACCTCTAAAGTTGTAGGAAGTTTATCAATAATTTGGGACCTCAATTTAGGGTCTTTAATAACCCCTAATAGTTCTAGCATGCTATCATTGGTCAAGACATTAATATTCAAGTCTGTGAACTGAGAATAAATATTATAAAGATCATTATCAGTGTTACAACATATCATGTATTCTTGACCGATGAGTTATTATTTCGAGAACATTCCTTTGCCTTAATTCAGAGGTACAATTATATTCCATGAAACGTTAAATCATTGGGCACAAGAATTTTAATAGGGCCATTTGGAATTTAAGTTAGCTTTGTTGAATTAGTGATACTTTAAAATTATAAGTTAAAGGTCAAGAAAAATATTATTCATCCATTTATTGGCTGGGGAAACGTGATAAAACCATTTGAACTCAACACTTATCTTCCATTTACCAAACTCTGAAGACTGGAGCACAATAATTGTTTTGTTTGAGACTTTAGTTAAGGGAAACTTACACAAATGTTCCAAATAAATTTCAACTTACCAACCTCTAGTCATTAATCATATACTTACCAAAACTAGCCAACAAAAATTGAAAAACTAAATAATAGGGTTCTTTCTCTCAAAGAATCACATGCAAAAATTACCTTCCATATTTTTAAGTGTGATTAGCAACACTAGATACAAGACGGAAAGAAAATTTTATGGATGAGGTAGCAAATAAGGTGATGAAATACAAAAAATATATACAATATTCCAAAAATCTAAACAAAAAAGAAATTTTTTCAATGGGTATAGTTGAAATTCATTGTAAATATATAGATAAGTCAATATACAAAATTTGAAGAAGATTTGAGGTGATTTGGACTGGTTTTGTATGAAAATTCGTAATTAAATTGAGTTCAAAAAAGTCTTCTACGACACATGTATCAAACATGTATCATGCATGTATCTCACACACAGGTATACATGGATATACATGTGATACACAATAGATACAAATATGATACATATGTAATATACAAATGATACACAGTGTGATACACATATCATTTTTTCATGTTCCATTTTTACCGAATTTTCAATTTAAACCACCTCAAAACTTCACCAAATCATCCCAAAACTGATATTCAAGCTCCTTAAGTTGTGCCCAATCTATTTTAATAACACCCACTCAAAACAAAGCAAAAATTTGATATTTTTTGCTACAAATAACTAATTGGCTAATATTAGTAATATTTTATCAATTGCCCAATTTTCGTAATGAGCTACTTATAAATGGACATAGCTGGTAATTTCCCTCTAGTTAATGCTTAATGATCGATGGGTATATTCTTCTAATGGATCATTGAATTTTGATAAAATCAAAATGCAAATTATATCAAGAAGAATTAGTGAAGTTATTCTATATGGGCTAGAGAAAAAATTAAGTCTCTATCCCGTAAAACTCAAGATAATATTGAGTTAACCTATTTCATAATCATTGCCAAACATACCAAAAGAAATACCTTCTCATTGCGTGGAAGGAGTATTTTACACTATTCATGATATTTTCTGTTCGTGAGAATAATTTTTAGCATAATTTATTGGTTAAATAAGATAGTCATAAATTACGAACACTCCTATTAATAAGTCACAAGCAAAATTTATTGAAATATGTTTAGTTAGTTTTAGTTATGGTTAGATATTGGCTAGCTAGCTACTGTTATTAGCTCTTAGTTAGCTAAGTTAATTGTATTAGCTTGTATTAATTAGCTGTCTTTTATTTTTCCCCTGTGTAGATACATATACAGGTTATAACAGTGGAAATGAGATGAGAGTCATTTTCACATTTTCAGTTCATCTGCTCTCCTCCCAGATATTTTCTTCTCTCTTTGGAATATTCCAGAACCTCCATTGAAACTCCTGTACGAGCTTCTTCCTAGCTCAAAGTAACAATCTCGATATGGTATCAGAGCCGGCGTGATACCCTTGGCGAAGATCTGTCGGAGTTTTTCTTCAAGGCCTCTTTCTCTCCGTCATCTGCTGGGTTTGATTTTGCGATTTCGAGCTGCAATATTTGTGCGAAGTAAAGGCATTTTATGCACAATTGGACAATTTATTCAATGTTTTGCTTAGGAAATTAGTCAATTTCATCATCTAGAGCTTCTCTCATGGTGATCGATCAAACCGAAGAACTCATCCCCAATACAAGCAAGAACGATCAACCTGCCATTGATATAAGTAGTCCTCTATACATTCATCCTTCGGATAGTCCCGGAGTGACTCTAGTACTAGTTTCTTTTGATGGAATTGGGTATAGGTCATGGAAAAGGAGCGTATTGAGAGCCCTGTCAGTTAAAAACAAATTATGGTTCGTAAATGGAGATTGTAGGAAGCCTCCTCCCAATTCTCCACAATTTCGTCAATGGGAGAGATGTGATGACATGGTAACTTCCTGGATTCTCAATTCCCTTTCAAAGGAAATTTCTGACAGTGTTGAATATGTTAGCGATTCAGTAGAATTATGGAGAAAATTGGAAGATCGATATGATCAAACGAATGGTGTAAAGCTGTATCAGATTCAAAAGGAGATTAATGATCTCGTTCAAGGATCCTTGGACATTACTACCTACTACACACGGATAAAAAGGCTATGGGAAGAATTAAGCAATCTCAGTGCAAAGTCCCAGTGCACCTGTGTTTGTACGTGTCGGTCAAAGGACAATATGCATAAGGTAGAACAGGACAGACGACTTATTCAGTTTCTGATGGGCTTGAACGAAGTGTACACAACAATGCGAGGAAGTATTTTAATGATGAAACATTTACCATCATTGGCGCAGGCCTTCCCTTTGTTAGTACAAGAGGAAAAACAAAGGGAGTTCAAACCAAACAATCAACTAAGCCTAGAGTCTACCTCACTTCATGTGAACACTGCACCTTCACAACATCAAAATCCTTTTGGAGCTCAGAATTTCAAAACACATTACACAGCAAAATCAGGCCATTTCAAGGGTCGACCATTCTGTGACTACTGCAAGAGGCCATGCCATACAAAGGACAAGTATAACAAATTACATGGATATCCCCAAAACAATCCTTATAATAATCAAGACTCAAATAGCACTAACACTCAATAGTTCAATCAGGGAAACAATTCAGGTCAAACTCAAGGTCACAAATTAAATAGAGGGAAAGGAACTGTGGCAAATGTGCATGGAGTCCCAGCTGATCTGATGCAGGAAAAGGAAGATGATCCAATCCTACACAGTGAGAATCAGAGTGTCAGTTTGACAAAAGAGAAATATGGGCAGATAATGAATCTACTACAACATTTTCAGACATGAAGGTCTCCTAGCAATGCTAATATCACCAGTGGTGTTGTTAACTTTGCAGGTATTGTGGTCTGTACTTCATCTATTGATTTTGACAAACAATCGTGCAAATATTTCGAATCTAAGATTAACTTTTGGATCATAGACTCAGGAGCCTCTAATCATATGACCTTCAATAAAACTACACTTAGTAACATAAAAACATTACCATACCCTGTGTTAATAAGCCTACCAAATGGATACAAGGTGAAAGTGCTTCAATTTGGGGATGTGATACTCAATTCTAAAATTACTCTACACAAAGTCCTTTATGTTCCATACTTTAAGTACAACCTAATTTCTCTCAATTCTCTTGCAACACATCCCAAGTGTATTGTATTTATCACTCATATACTATGTCTGTTGCAGGCCTCTTCAGTGAAGAAGCCTCAAGTGATTGGTAGTAGCAGAGAGGGATTATACTACCTCTGTCCAAGTGTCTAAACGGTAAAAATACTGTTTCAAATACTAGTCTTCCAATTTGTTGTTGCAACTGTTCTATTTCTGCCGGTACAATAGTGGAGTCTTTAGTAGTCCTTTTCATTTACAGTCTTATTCAACAGATGTAAATACTTCCATTCACAATAATAATAGTGACTCTTTGAATGTATTAGACAAACATGATGTAGACATTTTGTAGTATAATAGGCTTGGCCATGTTCCCTTTGTCAAAATGAGAAGAATATCCTCAATACCTGTGAGCTTCTCACCCAAACAACCTTTTATTTGCTCCATTTTCCCTATGGCTAGACAAGCCAAACTTCCATTTCCACAAAGAACCAGCACCTCTACCCATATTTTTCAATTGATACATGTTGACATATGGGCCCCCTACCATGTTGCTACACACAATAATTACAAATAATTCCTTATCTTGGTGGATGATTTCAGTAGGTCCACTTGGACTCATTTGTTAAGCAACAAAAGCAATGCCTTACAAACTCTTAAAGCTTTCATAAACATGATTGAGAACCAATTTAACACCACTATAAAAACCATCAGATCTGATAATGGACTGGAGTTTACCAGTCATAAAGCCACCTCCTTCTATCAAATAAAAGGAATTATGCACCAGAAAACTTGTCCTTATATTCCACACAACAAAATGGGGTAGTAGAAAGGAAACAGAAATATCTTCTTGAAACTCCTAGGGCCCTCATGTTTCAATCCAAACTTCCAACTAACTATTGGGGAGAATGCATTTTGACAGCAACTTACCTGATTAATAGACTACCTACTACCTACTTGAACAACAAGTGTCTTTTGAAATTTTATATCACAAGAAACCCAACTACTCTCATTTGAGGAGCTTTGGATGCCTCTGTTATCCTACTGTACCTAAGGTGCACAGAGACAAATAATGTAACACCCCGTAATTTGAATCGGTTGTGGATGCATTAAACGAGTATTAGCGTGATGGTAATTGAGTGGTTATGATAATAAGTGTACGAGGCATATTATAGGTGATTTGGGGTCTAAGGAGAGGCTTAAGTCCAAGCCAAGTTGAAAATTTTCATTATAGCTGAAAATTTGCAAATGAGTATGCACAAGACCTCATTTTGAGCGAGCATATCTACCTGGATACAATGAGTTGTGTGATGCACAACCTATCATATTAAAGCTCTTTGAGTCTAGTTTCCAACACAATAAACCGTTCATCATTTGGAGGTGTATATAGAATGTTATGACCATTTGACTGGGCAGGTGTCACTAGCGCGAACAAGAGCGCGAAGTCTTGCGCGAAGTCACACGTTTTTGCTGAGTATTCTACCTCCAGCGTGCGAACAAGCGCGCGAGATCGCGCATCTGGAAGGTTTTAAATATCTTAAAGACCGAAAATAAGAGAAATTGAGTCATTTCTCAAGCTTAGGGCTTCCTCTACACCCCCAACTCGACCAAGGCATCCAATTGCACACCTAAGGTGAGTTTTTAAGTGTGTTATCATGGTGATTTCACTTCTCAATCACTAGTTACAACATGATTTTGATTGGGTTTCATAGGATTTCTTCAAAATCTCAAGAACACCCCAAAAGTTGTCTTTCAAGATTTGGTCTACAAGAGGTAATCCTACACCCTTAGACTTACATATATGGTGTTATTATGGAATTATGAGTATGAATCAAGTATTACAACTTATGGTATGGTGATTGGAAGTCATAAATTCCCAATTTAAATGCATGACCATGGTAGGGATTTAAAGGTGATTATTTGATAGGATTTGTTGGTTGGGTGTGAATGGATGGTCATACATATGTTGTTGGAAGTTATAAATTTGTTAGGAATGATGGTGGAATGAATTGTTGGTTAATGGTGATAGTTGGATGAACCAACACTATAGTTATGAGGTGTAAATATCTATGCCTACAAGGTGTTTGATAATATGCCTAAATGGCATAAGTTATGGAATTTATTACTAATATTGGGTTCCATTGGATGTTGTTATTATAGATTGAAGGTTCTTAGTAGTGTGGATCATTGTAGTATCACTAAGGGGCAAATTGAGGTATGTAAGGCTAACTCTTTACGTTTGGGAATATCTATAATTCTCCCTACGTCCCATTCATCATCAACATTACTAGTTTCCTCAGAAAGTAATTATGCCTTGGTTCCATGAATAGAAGTAGAACTTATATTCTCTAGATGACATAGTTTCATAATCATTCGATATTCTATGAGTTTCAGTTATGACAAATCAACTTATTATGAATACTCATCTCAGTTTAATCCTATTCACTATACCAGTATCATGTAAGTCGGTATGGCTCATTATTTCAGTATCACATATTACAGTATGATTCTCAGTTCCTGATTTAAATTCCTGAATGTTGAACACCTGCATTTGGGCCTGAGGCCGCAGTTTATGCTTTATGCATTTTGGACCTGAGGTCGCAGTTATGTATACGTATACTTGGGCCCGAGG